AAGAACAGGTTAAAAAAAAAATCTATTTCACCAATTATTACCCGAGTCAAGATTCGTCCAGAAGGCGTGGTATCGAAAAACGACATAGGAGCATGCAAAATGCTGTGAAGAATCTGCCCGAAGAAAATCTGAGCAGTCTTTAATCCCATAACTGTCGTCAAAACACTTCTGAAAAGAACCAGCAAGAAAGCAACAACAGATAAAACAGCATACACTTCAATAAACAGGGAAGGATTAAAAGAAGCCGCTCGTTTTTCAGAGGTCTCGTAAGCCAGCCAATAGTCGCTCGACATTAGAGTTCCTTGCCATGTTATGGACAGTAGCAAAACAGCCGCCACACCCCACCACCCAAAAGACTCTGTGCAGTACAATTTGTACACTTTCAAGCTTACTTTACCAGTCGCCCGTTCTTCTTCCTTGATGAGCTTAGAGCTACCGCTATTATTAGCCTCCGATTTTTCATGGGAATTACTCTCGCTGTTTTCTTCACCGACTTTAAAAGATTTTTGGGTAGTTAAAGTTTTTGCTTCGTTTTTTGTCTCAACATCGACGAGCTCCATGGACGCGTCGTGTGCAGCTACCAAGGCTTGGAAATCAGTGCCGGATTCGAGCAGGCTGTTGTACTTTCCGGATTGTACAATCATGCCATCTCTCATGACCTGTTTTTTTTTTTTTTTTTTTTTTTNGTTTTTTTTTTTTAATAAATAGTATTTCTTGAAATAAATATTTCTGACTTACGAGGATTTGGTCGACGTTATGCAAGAAATCTACTTGGTGGGTCACAAGTATAATGGTCTTCCCCCTAAGAGCTCCTCTGACACATTCCTGTACAAAAAGATCAATTTTCATTAGATTTAACATGACAATGAAATGTCAGTTTACTAGCAGTTAAACACAACAAAATTTAGAAGTGTTTCTCTGTGAAATGTTAACCGTATTTTTCCACCAAAAGGCTAAGAAGTGCATTTTTCTTCTTTTAGTGTTAGAAGACACTCAACTTGGAAGTTAAAACAATGTACATATTTTCTGCTTTTATATAGGGCTAAAAACAAATATGAAGAAAGAAAGGGAACTTTTAGTTTAGGAGTAAAATTTGAAACATGCATATATTAGACAGCGATTTACAAAATTCTATGAGAATATGTATATCCATCTTAAGCAAGAACATTAACTATTTTAACATACTAATAACAATTGATTAGTTAATTTGTGTGCTTGCCTTGAATATTTCTGATCCAGTGTGAGCATCAACAGCACTAAACACATCATCAAGCAGATATATATCACAATCTTGATAAACCGCACGTGCAAGTTGAATTCTCTGCTTTTGTCCGCCACTCAGATTGATACCACGCTCTCCAATCTCAGTTTGGTCCCCAAACTCCATCATTTCAAGGTCTTTCTCCAAGCAGCAAACCCTAATGGCTTCCTTGTACTTGGCATTATTCATCGGCAATCCAAAAAGAATATTTTCTTGTATGGTCCCGTTTTGTATCCATGATGTCTGAGCCACATATGCTGTGCTACCACACACTCTAATCTGTAAAAATGAATATCGGTTTAGTTTACATCAGTTTCGTGGTAAGATAGAAAGAGAGAAGTGCTTAACATTCATAAACTCTGCATAACACAAATTAAAATCCACAAGCATGGAATGTTTTCGAAATTCATTCTGCTTTTTTGTGCTTTAGCTTTTGATATTACATGTAAATAAAGTCATTTTGGTTTCTTCTTAACCAAAAAGCAAAAAATACACTTTCTCTTAAGCTTCATATGATACAACACAAACACAGCCAACTTTACATAATTCATCACACTTCCCAATCCTATCTGCTACACATAAATCACTCTTCCTCAAAAAAAAAAACACACAAGTCCTTTCACTCAACTGATTGGATATAAATTCATCTAGTGAAAAACCAATCAAAACTCAAATTTAACTCAACCTCATTATTCTCAATTTTATCCATACAATTAAATAATACTAATAAATTATTCTTACACATCACATCAATTTCATTTCACTATTCATCAACTCACATAATTTTAACTAACATCATTATCATCTCTCTTATACTTTTACATCAAATCAACTTTAATTGTTTTGTTTCAAATATTATTATAATATAAACTTAAACTCCCCCTAACAACTAATCATACCACTGTTTTCAAAATTAACTATGGTTAACAAAAAACCAATAAAAAATCAATCAAATCCATATCCAGTCACACCCTAAATTAAACAAAAGCCACATTTTTCGTTCAAAATAAAATAAAATGATTTTTTTTCATACCTTTCCGGACAACTTGTTCATCTCTCCAAGAATGGCCGCGAGGAGCGAAGACTTCCCGGACCCCACCGTCCCCACCACCGCCGCCAGCTCACCTTTCCCGATCTCGAAACTCAACCCTTTCACCACCGCCTCTCGACTCTCGTCATCCCACCCGAAACTCCCCCCTTCAACCCCCACAGCCACACCCACCCCTCCCCCAACTCCTTACTCGTCATAAACTTATCCAACCTCTCCAATGAAATTATCGCCTGAGAAAGCGAAATCATCGACTGAGGAAATGTCCTAATCGGCTCCTGCAGCATCTTCAACAACGAAGTCGCCGTGAAAACTGTCCCCACAGAAAGCGGAAAACCGAGAACAACTGCACTTCCAAATGTGATGGTCGCTATAAGAGCCGGTGTACTCCACAACACAATAATATTAGCCGCAATCGAGTACATGAATTTACTAAGCCACCCGTATTCAATCTCCCGAAAGGATTGTATCCTCTTGTTAAAATGCTCCTCCCAAGCTTGGAACTTAATCACCCGCATGTAGTTGAGCATCTCGTTCGTGGCCTTCATGCGCAAGTCCCGGTTTTTCATCAGGCTGAACTGATAACCGTTGTTCTTCTTCGTCCGAACCAAGACAAACACCATTACTAAAACGAGCCCGATTATTGCTGCAAGAGTCGAGGTTCCTAAATATTGGTAGAGAATGACGATGGCTACCGTTAGCTGCAAAGGCATAAGCCAGAGGAAATGTAATTGAAGTATCATGTCAGAGAGCTGCTGGGCATCCACTGCCATGTAGTTAACAATTTGGCCCACTCCGTGGGCCTGACGGGCCGAGCCCGATAAGCGAAGGCCCTTTTTGTAGAGTGAGGTGATGAGGGTAGAGCGAACGAGCATGCCAAGCTTCTGGGCGTTGAAGTTGAACTGATGAGAGCTCAAGACCTCGACAAATTTGGCCCCCAACAGAATGCCGACGAGATAGTAGCCTTCGAAGGGCGAGGAGCTTTTGTCGCCGGAAGTGAAGTCCACGAAGCTCTGTATCAGTGTGGGCCCCACGTAGAGAACGCAGAGCCTGATGACAGCTAAGAATGCCGTGAAGGCGAATTCTTTCCAGAAGCAGCGGAGGAGTGTTTTCAAGACCGGGTGTTTTGAGTTTTCTTCGGGTTTGGGCCAATTCTTTTGGAAGAGTTGGGACATTTTCTCGGCTTTGTGCTCGGGCGAAAGGGAAGGCACGTCTTCTATCTTGAGCGGCGAGTTGTATCCTTTTTTCAAAAGTGGGTTCATCCAAATCCAGAAGGCTTTTGATAAGATTGAAGCTGAAGAAAATCCGGTCGTGTTATCGGGGTGTTGTTTATTGGCCAAAAGGGGTTGTTCTGAATCCATAACCTGATCAACTTCAACTTCAGATGATAGTGTAATCCCAGTGGACCCTTTCGCTGCAGCTATGAGTAAGACGAAAGAGAAAGGAAAAACAATAACCGAGACTATGTCGTCTGTTATCAAGTCCGAACCGGTTTTTTGAAATGCAACCAAACGCAGAACGCCGGACGAGAAAAACAGAACTAAAACTACGAATTCGACTGCCCAATATATCCTTAGAGTTAGAGGATGTAAAGTAGCTTTAAATCTCTTCTCGTGTGCAATTAGCACTACTGTAATTGCATGAGTGACTGCTTGGAACAGCCAGTACAGGCCGTTCACAGTCTTAAATGGGAATTTACCGCTCTTGGTAAAAGCTAGAACGCACGCGACAGCCGAGATGAGAGATAAAGCTAGCGAGATAATGAGAGTGAGCTTAAACCACGAGCCGGCCCTAACAATGGCTGCGTCGGCCTTGTGACTAACCAGGGGAGTGTGAATTTCGGAGTGCCCGTTTGAGGTCAGCCTCCCATTTGAAGTGAATCTGGAAAAGAGCTTATGGACGGCGAATAGGAACACGAGAATTAAAAAGATAATGTCTATAGAGGTTAAGAGGGCTCGCTGAGGGCATGGGGAGAGGAAAACGAATCTCAGCCATTGGACGGCGGCCGGAATCGAGGAATGTGGTGGTCGGCCGACGGGGCTGGAGCAAGAGAGGTCCGTGATCCATGAAGATGATGATGATGATGATGATGACATGTTTGTGAAAAGTCCACTGTGAAAAATACAGTGGAAAATGAAAATTTCTTCCTTCTATTCTGAATTGTCACCAACCTTCTTCATCTCTTGCACTGTGGATTAAAAAAAGAAGAAAAGAGAGAGACACTGAGAGAGGGAGAACATGCACTTTATTTGAGATATTTTAAATAATTAGGTAACAATTATTTATGTTAAAAGGTCAATCTTCAATGTGTGGATATAACAATCATGGTGATATGATTCTCCAAACAAAGATATTGATAAAAGGTCCAAAAGGATATGTTGTCTTATTAAAAAAAATAAGAAAATCAATGTAACTGTATAACTTAAGCTCGAAAAGAGTATTAATTATGAAGAAAATGAAAAAAAAAAAAAACAATGAACAGGATAAAAAATAAGAACAGCATAAAGATTAATAATGAAACTGAATTACTGGAAGCCCATATGAAGATAAAAAAACAATATATATAATCAACAAATCTTTTAGCAAAAGGAATTCAAGTATAAGTAAACAATGACACATATGTGTAC